TGTAAAAATATAAGCAACAGGGCAACCCCTGGGCAGCAGGACACAAGGAGGAAGCCACTGATCAAGAGACCTCAGGGGTAACGGTCAGGAGTCAGGTCCAAGTCAAGGTACAAGGCAGGAACAGGATACAGGCAACAGTATACAGGCAACAGGCTATGGCAACAATACTGAAGCACAGGCCTCATTGCAGGGAGAGGTTAATACCCTCCCAGATCAGCACCAAGTGGTGCCTAATTGCTGGGAGACACCTGCAGGCGAACACTGGAACTGCAGGATTAGGTTCCAGCTCCACAGTGCCACCTGGAGGCGCTCTGGTCCCTGACAGCACGGCATTACTGCCACTAAGTGCAGCCAACGAGCAATAATACCTTGTAAATGGCATATTCCCAGCTTGCTGCTGGGCAAACCTTTTATAAATCAGCCCTGTTAAGTGACTCACCCAAAACTTGTAGATAAGGACTTCTCAGTTTATTAGTTTTCAAATTTGTTTGGCCCCTTTCACACAGGTGTTCCATCCCCAATTGTTATTGACCCATGATTAGATTAATCAAAAATGGACTGCAATCTTTATGGGTGGCCAGATGAAAGTGGATGTCAGCATGCAGAGCTGCATACTAATATGATTTTTAGTGAAAGGGGGTAAAGCTCTGTTTTTAGTTTGTGTCCAGGTTCACTTTTGCGTACCAGACAGGATGTGGGCGGATGTAGGTCGATGTACCACCGTTTACATCTGATTGCCCATAATCATCATGTCTTCATTTTTCCTCCATCACAAGACGGATGAAAAAAAAATGGAGTGTGACATTCGTTTCCATATTCATCCTACTCAGCAGGGGATCAGTGTAGGATTCCCTACTGTGATGGAATGGAAGATGACCATGTGAAATGGGCCTTTAACTGCTTTACCTACAAAGATATTTATATTTCTGTTTGGTCAGTTTTCAGATTTACACAATCCTTCCAGATGGTATACCTTGTTATTGGACAGTGAAGAAGGAGCAGTGGACACATGAACTCATCATTCTGCTTTTTTCTCTCGTCAGCATGTTCCTTGTCAGCCCATGAGCATGGAGCACACCTGACACCTATTACTGAATGCTGCGGGCCTGGCCTATTCTGCCACTGGACTCTGTCAATGGGCTTTGGGAGCCCGGGCCCTTCCAACTTTCAGTCTGAATGCTGCTGTACAGGGAATGAAAAGAGGCTGGTAGCAATTTAAAATGCAGTATTACCAGATACCTTTTAAATACATTTAAAGAGTTATTAAGGCATAAACAACTAGTAATTGGTATTTTCTATATCTGCCTGGAGTTCAGCTTTAAATCAAGGCAAAGAGCAATTAAAGGACTTTGCAAGGGTAATTTTTTTCAAGAAGTACTAACCTCAAAAAATAAACCAAACGTACATATACTATCATATGCAGGCTATATAAAATTAATATGGGGAAAATAATTGGTTAAACCGCGGGTTGGCAACCTTGGCACTCCAGCTGTGATGAAACTACCCATCCCATCAAAACCTCTGCCTCTGGGAGTCATGCCTGTGGCAGTCCGAGTCTTGCAATGCCTCAAGGGACTTCTGGTTTCCAAAAATAGCTGGAGTGCCGAGGTTGCCTACCCCTGGTCTAGGTCTATACACCTGATGAATTGGAGGGGGGCAACTAAGGAGTAAAAGGGGGCAGAGGATTTGGTTTCAAAAAGAGACTGTCCCTTAAGATGAGTTTTACTGAATAGGAAACAGAAAACAGAGGAAACATTTTTGCTGCAGAGACGAGCTCTCAGAGTTGTCTGTAGCAACTTATAGCTTTTGTGCTTTCTTAGTTCAGGTAGAAAAGTGAAGATCAGCATATGATTAGTGAGAAACGTTATGCTGGATTTCACTTTTCTAACCGCAAGTTAGAAAAAAGAAAAGTTATACGTTGATTGGTTGCTACAGACAACTCTGAGAGCTCGTCTCTGCAGCAAAAAAATGGCAGCCAAAATGGGAATGGGAATCTGCCACATTCTCAAAGGAGACAGCCAAGGGTAGCAAAGGTTTTATGGTGAACTGCTACTGCACACAATTTACTAAACCTATAAATACCAAATACACTACTTCCTAGCATTACTTTCTCCTGACCCCTGCACTGTGTGTTATGCATTCTGTACATTATGTACTCTATGTGTTACTTACCCCTGACCCCTGCACCCTATGCATTGCACACTCCTGACCTTGCAACTTGTGCATTATGCACCCCTGCTGCCTGCTCCCTGTGCATCAGACACACCTGACCCATAAAAAGTGGGCTCAGATTTTATCTAACCATACCCCTTTAAATCCTTCTCAAGTTTACCATACCCACAATTTCCCGCAGTGCACTACATGCTCTGTGTCATTTCTCTACACATGGTGCCAAGATATTTCGTACGTATAATATAAATGTCTATCTCTTGTTGCAAAGGTCTGTGGCCAATTGTTTCAGGACATGTTAAAAATGGGAAGTGGTGTGTGCAGTGTCTCCTCTTGCCTCCACCCCTATTTTCATCATATAATGTGCTACAAACCTGTGGGTGCTTTTGAAGATGAAGAACAATGCTTATCCATTCAGGTATAATATCATTCCTATGTTATACAATTACTACCCCTTTGGTTAAAGCATGGATGTATTCATGCCACAATTCTCTTTACTATTAGTACATCTGGGCATGTTAATTTATCGAACCCCCCCCAGACAATGCAGCCTCATTATTTCCAATTTCATATCACTATTAGGTTCTCAAAATTGTTCTTGGCTATGCCTTCATAGTTAAAAGACTTAGGCTTTCTTCCTTTTAATGTTGACTACATTTATGTATAGGGTCAACCAATCCATAATTCATTTTGAATTATGAGCAGATATCATAAGGTGAAATTAACCACCTTATTGACCACCATCTCGTATAAAGCAGTGTTTACCTTTGCCAATGTATAAAGAAACTGCTGCCAAATATGAACTGTTCATCTTCTGAGAAGCCCACTGCTGCACAATCAGTGAGCAAAATTTGAACCCCCAGACACCCACTTATTCTTCCACTGGGTCCTGTCATCTTGCCTTTGACTGAGCAGATTTTGAAGATATGAGTGTGTTTACATGCTTGGGTAGCACCAACCTGCTCTAAGAGCATGTGGGGGACTTCAGAGGCAGGGTGGGCTTCCTCAGGGATGAGTCCTTAGCCGGTTGTGGGATGCTAATGTAAAGTTGGATACCAGTCACTTTAAGCTTTCTAAAGATTTTATTCCATCAGCAACTCATAGTTAAGGGCTACAGATATCTAAGACAGTACAGAACTCCGGGATCACTGACCACTTCCCAACTTGACAGTGCAGAGGGCCTTTAAAATAACTGCATTAATACTGTTTATTGAATGTTATGCTGGGCAGTAGACATAGCAAAGATTTCCTTAGGCAAGGTCTAAGCCCATCCTGACTTCTCTGGCACCTCCTGCAAACAATTTCCTCCCTGGTTCTTCATCCCAGGAACAAATTTATACTCTGACTGGGTCCATACCTGACCACCTGCAGGCTGCAGACCTGGTCAGGCAGCACAACATTTACCCCAAACTGTAGGGCCAGGGGAAAGAGAACTCCCAAGGTCAGAGCCAAATATTTATGTCCTCCCCCAGCATGCAACACTGGCCATGAACCTCCTAATGATCGGCTAGGGAGACATACCTAGGTGGTAATCTTGGTTAAAGCGAAAGTGTACATTTATTGTCTGCCTTCTGGACTCTGAATGAGAGATGTCTGCATTTGGCTTTCCAACTCTTCCAAAAACCACGACCATCTCAGTCTTCCTGTTTATTTTTCATTTAGTCTGCTTTAGAGATGGCAGCAATCGTTGGGAAACTGGTGCTGGTCCAGGAATAGTTGAAGTCTGCACTATCAGATATATTGTATATGTGCTGATTACATGTATATATTACGTGGTGTAAAATGATTTTGGTGTGGCCATCCTTAGTATGTTATCGGAAATCAGCTTTCATTTTAGAACTACCATCAAAAACAGGTTTCTGATCAGTTTCTTATCCATCCACAATTAACAAAGTTTGTGTACCTCACTGATGGTTGATTTAATGCAAACTTGCCTTATTTTGTAGCTTAAGGTAGTTTGTACCCTGTTCCTTATTGCTTGTTGGACATACAGACTTGAAACCTGTTTAGCTTTTTGTTCCGACAGAAACTCTGAATTGATCATTACTTGTTAACAAACCCCTTTTACTTAAATTACATGTGATGTTAAGGAGAACCTGCGAATGTAGGACTCAAAGAAGTTGCCATTGCTGACTTGGTTCTTAAAACTGCATGTTCTGTATGTTTCATCCTAGTCCAATTCTTTAAGGAACTGTCTTGAACCAGGAATGAAGGGCAGGTGATCAGGCTTTCAGGTCTCTCTGGCTTTATGCTTCTTCCAGGTTAGTGACTCGGGTATTGAAGCCAAGAACAAGGTTAAGGATTGGAGCCTGCATTTTTAAACACCAAGACAGCAGTGACCGGTCCCATATTTAGTGTGTGTAGTAACCATAGTAAGTAAATGTAAGCTGATTTCTGATTGGGTATTCTGGGTTAATACATAGCAGTATTATATGCAGTACATTGTAAATTAAGAATGGTTTAACCATTTTAATAGAATTTGAGCTTTAGGCTGTTGGTGTGAACTGAGCCCATCTGTGACAAGGCAAATTGCCTTGTCTTGCATCGTAGCTGTGTGGAAAAAATGGCCAGCGCAGCCCCAATGCATTTGGTGTGAATCTAACCTAAATGCTATTTTTTTTACAACATATGGCCAAGTGTCTAAAAGCTTTTTTGCTTTTAACCAACTCCTTGTTACCCAGATTAGATAACATTAATCCAAAAACACACATATTTACAGAAACCTTTTTTGCATCAGAATAAAGCTTTATTGATAAGAAATCACCCTTCTAAGACACAAGCATCTCTTATTATATTATTAATTATCAGAATTGAAGAAATAGAACTCTAGAGGTAAGCTTCATGGGGACATCCGAAGAGTTTCAGGAGATTGTAGGGAGTGTAAAAGATACAGGAGGGCTTCACGGTACCAATCAGACCTTCTCCTCGCGTTCCCTAACTTGCTGGGACACTGTTCTTCCATCAACCACTTCCTCAATAATGGTCCTTACCTTTCGGAACTTTTGTGGCTCTGAAGAGAAAGAACTTGTATCAGTTAATGGGAGCATTTATGTATAGAATGTGCCAAGTTCATGTGTGTGTGCCTTCTATACACATAGTGAGTGTGACACAGTATTTGGTACTGATGTCTTGAAGTCACTTTGATCTAAGTCTTTTAATTTTAACTGTTCTTGTATGGGCTTGGTTGATCTGGTGTGCACAATTCAAAAGCATAATAGCAGGTTACTATTTTCTGAGCGCACACTTAGGTGTGTAGATGGGACTGAGTATGGATTTCTGAATAGCCAGGGGCACAGTGCAACCACCCACACATATAATATGATAAAAGGTTGAAGACTCTCTGCCTGCCCCTTCTCTGCCTGCCCAAGGTCTTCCTTGTTACTACCCCTGTATAGTTCTGTCGCTCAGTTTGGCTACAAATGTGCAGAAGTGGCCAGGAAACAGAAACAAAATAAGGGAAAAGTTATCAAAATCTGTAAATCTTGAGACTCGACATGGACTCCTCTAGACATTGGCCCACAAGAGCCATTATGGTAACTACATCCTTGTTCCTATTCACCTGGACAAGCTAATACTTATTTACAAGAGTCCCTTAGATACAAAGATGATAACGTATAACTAAAAATATATTTTATAACATATAAGGAAGCTTTATTAATAACTGTTAATCTGACAGAATATATTTTAAGAATGTTCACTTTTACTAAAGCCCATAAAGAGAACAATAATTTAATCTGCTTACCTTTAGGACACAGAGCAGGTTGGGCTGGGATAGAGCTATAATAAAGAACAAGAGGAATGTCATTTTTAGTCTGATCGTTCACTTCAGCAAAAGTACGTTTTAACATATACTGATACAGTTAAGTATGAATACAATTTTTTTTAACAGTATTGGTACCAACGTCTTAATAAAACGTTTCTTACATGGACTGTCCATCAAGTAAGCAGCGGTAGGTTTCAATTTCCCTCTCCAGCCTAGTCTTGATGTCCAGAAGGTGGTCATACTCGATGCCTTGACTCTCCATTTCTGTCCTAACTTGACACAACATTTCCTCCAAGTTGCTTATTTTTGCCTGAATGTGCCCAAGCTGCAGACAGTAGCTTCCTTCTGTCTCTGCCAAGGAGCTTTCCAGTGTTGTTTTCTAAAGAAAGAAACCATTGTTCATTAAATATATAGTTCTCTATATGGATATCGGCAGTCTTACACTTATAAAGGTTTGGTGATGACTCACTGTTTGCTTCACTTAAAGTACATGCATACCCATTCACTAAAATCTCATTAAAACATTCACATGTTAAAGTAATGTAAAAAGTAATTTCTAGCATTTTAACATTTTGCAGCTTTCATTAAAATAATATCTGGTTATTCTGCCATGAAGATTCTTGTGCAGGCACTTCCTGTTATAGGGTGACAACTATCGCTGTCTCCAAATTGTGCTCCTGTGTTGTCTCCCTGTCACACACACTTCGAAGGGAGACTACAGGTGGCCGTACCGATGCACATTTACCCAAGAGGTAAAAACTATCTTTTTAAAAAAAACTGAATTTTTTTTATATTACAAAGTGCTTTAGAAAACTAAATGTCATTCAGTTGGGGTTTACCTGTACTTTAACCTGTTGGTGGTGACCCCTACTTAGGGTCCACAATCAGATCTTGGATATAGCAAATATTCTAGTGAGATCAAATCTTTTTTACACCAAGAAATGCTAACCCAAAACTGGAAGCAACACATTTAACAGGCCAAATAAAGTTAAACAGCAGTAAACGAAATGCAAAATCTTATTGTCTGTAATTATGTGTTATATTTCAAAGTAACCATACGAATAGTAACTACTAATAAGTTCTGGAGTACAGTGATAACATAAGCTTTATTAGTTATATAGTCTTACCATTGCACGGGCGGCTTGTAGTTCAATCTCTAGAGATTGAACGGACCTCTTCAGATCAATAATTTCATTTCTGGTAGATTGGATAAGCTCAGTACCAGATGAAATTTCCTGTTTGAGGACTCGACTCTGAAAATACAACCATAAAAAATGATGGAAACTTAAATGGAAGGAGTTTTGCCTACAATTATAATGGAAGTAAATCAGCCTCTTTTTTTACCATTTCAATGAATTGAGCTTCAGCCTCCCTTCTGTTTTTCTCTGCTAAGCTTTCATAGTCAGCTCTCATATTATTCAGGATTTTAGTGAGGTCATTTCCTGGAGCAGCATTCATCTCCACAGAGAGTTGTCCTGTGACCCCTAGGAAGCTCTTCATTTCCTGAAAGCAATAATAAAAAAGCTAAGGCTGAAGTTTCCTAAAGTGTTAAGTGACTTTTTTGATTCAGAAGAAAGACTAAAACGTATAGCACAGTGTATGATATAAAAGGAAACGCAAGTTGTGAACCAATAGTAACAGACATTATAAGGATTACTAGTACCTCTTCATGGTTCTTCTTGAGACACCCGATCTCCTCAGTCAAGCTTTGAATCTGAGCTTCAAGGTCACATTTAGCCAAGCTGAGCTCATTCAGTACTTTACGCAGGCCATTAATATCAGCTTCCACATTAAGACGGAGGCTCAACTCATTTTCAAACCTGCATGGCAGAAGATGTGATTATTCACATACTGAGTAAACAATACACAGCAAAGCTATTAGTAGTCCTAAAAAGTAATTATTGATCAGAAACTTACTTCATCTTGAAGTCATCAGCTGCCAAACGGGCATTGTCAACTTGGAGGACAATTCTTGCATTATCCAGAGTGGCTGCTTGAATCTATACAGACAGACAAAGGTTTATGGTTGCCATGTTTATATGACTTAATTAAGTTAATACATTTTGTAATGCTATAATTTATTATGCAAGGAAAGGAAACTGCCAGACTGTTGAGGAGAAAAATTGAAACATTCCGATACATTTTCATGTATATTTACACCAATAATGCTTTAAAATCAATACCTGCTTCTTGAGATCCTCAATGATTTTGAAATATTTGGAGTAGTCCTTCACTTGCTTGTTATCATTGCAGTGCTGTTCATACCAAGCCTTAATTTTGGATTCAAGGTCAGCATTGGCGTCTTCTAAATCCTGCACATTGTTTAGGTATGAAGCCAGACGGTCATTGAGATTTTGCATGGTTTCCTTCTCACTTCCACAGAGGAGGCCATCTCCACTGAAGTAGCCTGCACTAAAGTTACCAACAGCTCCTCCACTCAAGCTCCCAACACCAAAGTCACCAAAAGCACCTCTACTTTGGTGAGCACCAAAGCTTCCAGCACCGCATGTAGCTCCAGCGCTACCAAGGAAGGAGCAAATGGATGTTCCATAGTTTCCACCTCCAACAGAGAGCCTTGATGGAGCACAGGGTTTTTGGCAAGACATGTTCTTGGTATGATAGCCCTCCTAGTAAGTAGGTGAAAGAGATAGCAAGCTTACTCTAGGATAAAATCATTAGCCTTTATATGCAAAATCATGTGGGTGGTTCAGTTTCATTCAACTCCCAAACCAATGTCTGGCTGTTAAATTCTTGATGAAAGGTTAATTAAAAGACTCAGTGTGTCCACTTGTGCCTACTTTGAAGAATGCCTTAGGCTGGTCGTTAAGATAAAATGATGGGTATAAAAAAGGGTGGAGCATGAACAATTATTATTTTCTTTTCTTTAATCTTGTAACTCTAGACAAGATCAGAAACACCTCATAATCAGTTTGCTGTTGCATGAAAATTAGTTTGCTGTTGTCCAGTGCCCAATATGATATGTTTTAATTCCTAGACCTTTCACCATTTTTGTTGCCTGTCTATAGACTTGTTCTATCTTATCAATATCTTTTTGTAAGTGAGGTCACCATACTCAGACATGGTATTCTAAATGAGGTCTAACTAAAGATATACACTGAGTGGCCAGATTATTATGACCATCTGACGTTTGTAGGCAAATTAGCTATAATTTTGCGCTGAAGTTGCTAGAGGGCCAGAACAATATAAAAAGGGAAGCAGGTTGTTTATCCAGACAGTAGAAGTGATTTTTTTCTGAAGATATGGGTAAACAATGCGATTTAAAAGCCTTTGAACGTGGGATGATTGTTGGCGCTCGGAGCCATGGAGCAAGCATCAGCAGAACGGCAGAATTTGTTAAATGTTCAAGAGCAGCTGTTGTTAAAGTGTTTAAAGACTGGACTGTCAGCCGAAAATCTGGGTCTGAACGTGCGAATTGTGGCAGCCGTGACTAGGAATCACGTCTCCAGTTGCATCATGCAGATGGCAGAGTGAGAATTTGGCGGAAACAGCATGAAAGCATGCACCCCACATCCATGAGTACAACCCTTCAAGCTGGTTGGGGCAGTGTTATGGTTTGGGGCATGTTTTCCTGGCATGATTTGGGCCCTTTAATTCTTGTGGAACAACATCTGAATAGCACAACATACCAAAGTATCGTTGCTGATCAAGTTCATCCTATCATGTTGATGGCGTATCCCAATGGAGATGGCTTCTTCCAACAAGACAATGTGCCATGCCACGGTGCTCCTATTGTGCAGGATTGGTTTCAAGATCATGAGGGAGACTTTACCTTGCTTAGGTGGCCCCCACAATCACCAGATCTCAATCCAATTGAGCATTTGTGGGACGAAGTTGGAAGAGCCATCAGGCAGCTGGTTCCACAACCATCAAATCTCACAGAACTGGACAGTGCTATTCATCAGGCATGGTGTCAGATTCCTCGCATCATCTTTCAACATCTCGTGGAGTCAATGCCAAGAAGAATCGCTGCAGTATTGAAGGAAAAAGGTGGCCCAACGAAGTACTGATGGGGTGGTCATACTCAGTGTATATACTGTATGTGTATATATATGTATATATACATATACTGTATGTGTATATATATATATATATATATATATATACAAATCCCACCAATGCATTATACAGCAATGCAGAACAGTATATGTATTGTATATAAAATATATAATGTATTGGTAGGATTTGGACCTTATTTTCTAGCAGTGCCCCTCCCGAGACTAGACTCTGGATACGCCCTGTCACAGGGGGATGCAGGGAGCTGTGTGAGGTGCTACCAGTCACTGAGGGCCCCAACCAGACTCATTTAGAGCAATCTTTGTGATACATTACAAAAGACGATACCGCTTGCCATTTAATTAAGTGTGTGATGAAAAATTAACCACGGTTTATGGGTTGGGCATTCCATGAGGGATTTCAGGCTCCTGCAACATCAAGCCTGAGTATATTCTTCCAGGTAGACTATATCGGTGACCTGCAACATAGGTATGAAAAGGCCTGGACCAGATGCCCATGGGATTTATAACATTAAGGGGCTGATACACTAAAGGAATTCACTAAAGAGTTTCCAGTGTTCCATTCCAGAGGGAGTTTAAAAAAAAAGACAGAATTTCTCCTTTAGCAAATGACACCCTTCACATCAGCCCCCCTTTAATGTCAGAAGCCCCACCTTTCACATCAAGAGCCCCTCTTTCACTTCAGAAGCCCCCCTTCACATCAGAGGCTCCTTCACATCAGGAGCCCCCCTTTAATATCAGAAGCCCCCTTTACATCAGAAGCCCCCCTTCACATCAGAATCCTCCCTTTCACATTAAGAGGTCCCTCCTTTCACATCATAGCTCCCCTCTTTATATCAGAGCCCCCTTTCATATTGGAATCCCTCATTTTACATCACAGTCCCCCCTTCACATCCTACCATCAGAAAATGATGATGCACCACTGAGGAAGCCAGAAGGCACCATGGTTGAGAAAGGCCGACATAGAGGATACACATGTTTCTGAAGAAGCGCTAGCTATCCCTGGCCTCAATATGTTCATAGTCACCCTCAAGGAAATTGTATTTAGCCTGAAAAGTCATAGAAGGTTAGACTTCCCAATCTGCATACTTGTTTCAGATATGTGAAGCGCTGAAGCCTTCAGATCTAGCAGCCAGACAAATAACATTTTCAAAAGCTCAGTAATGGCAGCCTATAATGGCAGCCTATGTGCAGGTTTCCTTTAAATAACACACAGCAAAATAGTAGGGCTGTGGAAATTAAAGATTAATTTCTCGATTAATCGTTAAACTTTTTGATCGATTAAAATTATTTTGATCGCTAATGAAAACACTCACCTCTCCGCCGGCTTCCGGGAGTACTGTCGGCGATCCGGTGAAGTCACGGACATCGACATCACCGGACTCCTCCCCCCCTTCCCCAAGTGCCTCAGCCGGCTAACGAAGGGAAGGGGGGAGGAGTCCGGTGACGTCGATGACCGTGATGGCTAACGAAGGGAGGAGGAGTCCGGTGACGTTGATGTCCGTGACGTCACCGGACTCCTCCCCCCTTCGTTAGCCGACGGAGCCACTTGGGCCGGTGAGTTTGCCCAAGAAACTTTCTGCACAGCAATGAAGTAATAAAATGAACTAGGATCACACTAATCCAGCACGTTATTATTCTGAGTTGCCCCACTCAAGCGGCGGCCATATTAAGCGGGGCACGTGAGATTAATAACGTGCTGGATTAGTGTGATCCTAGTTCATTTTATTACTTCATTGCTGTGCTGTATGTGTATAGGCCAATGTAGTTGGATTTGTATGTGCGTTATAATTAATCGAAATTAATTGATTACAATTTTTTTCGATTAATCGAACACGAAAATTTTAATCATTACCAGCCCTACAAAATAGCCAAACCAGAAAATTCTGCCGTTTAGCTAATTTTCCAAATCAACCTATTGGTCTAGATTTTGAAATCCCGAATTCCCCTGCAATTCATTTTTTAGTGAGTATACCTGCTATTGTGGGTCAGGCTTGTATATGGGTGGAGCACAAGGGGACACGATAATCTCGTATTGCCCAGGGGCCCCATGAGTTGTCAGTCTGCCCCTGCTTAGAGATGGCAGCAATTGTTGTGAAACTGGTGCTGGTCCAGGAGTAGTTGAAGCCTGCACTAGCAGATACTGTATATTGTATATGTGCATATTGCATGTATACATTAAGCTGTGTAATCAGATTTTTTTTGTGGTCCATCCATAGTATCTTATTGGAAATCAGCTTTAATTTTAGAACTGCCACCAAAAACAGGTTTCTGATCAGTTCCATATCCATCCCCAATTAACAAAGCTTTTGTACATCACTGATCGTTGATTTAATGCGAGCTTGCCTTATATTGTAGCTTAGGGCAGTTTGTACCCTGTTCCTTATTGCTTGTTGGACACATAGACCTGAAACCTGTTTAGCTTTATGTTCCGGCAGAAACTCTAAATTGGATCATTACTTGTTAACAAACCCTTTTTACTTAAAGCACATGTGATGTAAAGGAGAACCCGTGAAGGTAGGACTCAGGCCATGCCCCCTCCTGACCCAAAACAAAGCGAGCCAGCTGGGGTATGTTCCAGAGGCCGAACGCTCTGGAACGCACTTTCTATAGTGTGACTGGGCCCTCATTCCTTTTTCACGTTCACTGCTCTGTTTTAGATACAGTGGTATATTAGGTGCATTATATATTTGGATGTGCTTTACATGTTTTACCAAACACCCCTACCAGAGGTATTGGAATTTGGGGGTATTTGAACAATGACACACTGACACTTGGGGGTCCAGAACAATGACACACTGACACTTGGGGATCCAGAACAATGACAGACTGACAATTTATATACTGTTCTGCATTGCTGTATAATGTATTGCTGGGATTTTTAGTCCCCTTACAGCCAATGCCATTCTGCATTAGACTGTAAGCTCCTTTGTACAGAAACTAACGTGACTGCCTCAGTGTTCTCTGTATAGCCCTGTGATATATTTCAGTGCTATATACATGTATAATAATAGTGTGAGACTGTGGGGGACCATAAGTAGCATACCATTGGCGGGTGGGGGGGGGGCGGGGGTGCTAACCATGTAGGCTGTATGGGGCGCCATGATTTCTAATGGCAGCCCTGGGCGCCTGTACAAGAAAATTCAGCTTTTTTCAGAGCACACAGGGAGAACCAAATCTAGTGGTAAGCTAATATGCAAACATCGACTTCACTTAAAAAGTCAGAGGTTTGACCTGTTCCCGCCTACCAATGGCACTTTGTTGCCATCACTATGATGACAGACCTTACTTATAGGTCACAGTGTGTGTGGGTAAGCCAGACCAATCCTCCATTTTCCTAGATTAGTTCAATATCTGCCTAATAGACGTGGCCGGCCCAGTTTCGGGGGTGTTGTGGTAATCTGCAGGTACCTATTAAATTCAAGCTCCATAATACTCTTGGGTCACTGTATGTGAATGTCTACCAGTCAACTTCTCTCTAATTAAAGACAACATATTCTCTGCAGTTTTATATGTAACGGCCAGAGATTATGTGAGCTAAGGGGATTAGGCTTTAGGTCTCATGAAATAGCTTGGGGTGATTATTTCAGATGATTGCAAAATGATCAAACGGTGTGTCCTGGCAGCAGGGAAAGCTTATAGAAGTCTGGGGTACATCACCAGACTGATCAAAGGCAGGATGAAGGATGACCTGATTTCTTCTATATGTAAATATAGATAGTTAGATCTCATTTAGAATACTGTGTCTGGGTATGGTGACCTCACTTACAAAAATATATTGATAAGATAGAACAAATCCAGAGACAGGCAAGAAAAACGGTGAAAGGTCTGGGAATTAAAACATATCAGAAGAGACTACTGGACAAGAGCAAACTGATTTTTATGCAACAGCAAACTGATTATGAAGTGTTTCTGATCCCATAACACCTCCATACCAATTTATTTTATATTCTTGCACTACTAGTAAAAGTTTGAGGTATTGTTTCTCAAGAATCCGTCAAGCTTGTCTAAATAGTGCAATGCTCTAGATGGCATTTGCCTTGCCCATTTACTCAGAATATTATCTATAAAATCACTGGGAGGGTAAATAGTTTCAAAACATGAATTACTTGTCCAGAGTTACAAGATTCAAGGAAATAAAACAATTATCCATGCTCCACCCTTTTATCATTTTATCGTAACAACCAGCCTAAGGCATTCTTCAAAATAGGCACAAGTGGACACACTGAATCTTTTAATTAACCTGTCATCAAGCATTTAGGAGCCAGACATTGGTTTGGGAGTTGAATGAAACTGAACCACCCACATGATTTTGCATATAAAGGCTAATGATTTTATCCTAGAGTAAGCTTGCTATCTCTTTCACCTACTTACTAGGAGGGCTATCATACCAAGAACATGTCTTGCCAAAAACCCTGTGCTCCATCAAGGCTCTCTGTTGGAGGTGGAAACTATGGAACATCTGTTTGCTCCTTCCCTGGGAGAGCTGGAGCTACATGTGGTGCTCAAAGCTTTGGTGCTCACCAAAGTGGAGGTGCTTTTGGTGATTTTGGTGTTGGGAGCTTGAGTGGAGGAGCTGTTGGTAACTTTAGTGCAGGCTACTTCGGTGGAGATGGCCTCCTCTGTGGAAGTGAGAAGGAAACCATGCAAAATCTTAATGACCGTCTGGCTTCATACCTGAACAAAGTGCAGGATTTAGAAGATGCCAATGCTGACCTTGAATCCAAAATTAAGGCTTGGTATGAACAGCACTGCAATGATAACAAGCAAGTGAAGGACTACTCCAAATATTTCAAAATCATTGAGGATCTCAAGAAGCAGGTATTGATTTTAAAGCATTATTGGTGTAAATATACATGAGAATGTATTGGAATGTTTCAATTTTTCTCCTCAACAGTCTGGCAGTTTCCTTTCCTTGCATAATAAATTATAGCATTACAAAATGTATTAACTTAATTAAGTCATATAAACATGGCAACCATAAACCTTTGTTTGTCTGTATAGATTCAAGCAGCCACTCTGGATAATGCAAGAATTGTCCTCCAAGTTGACAATGCCCGTTTGGCAGCTGATGACTTCAAGATGAAGTAAGTTTCTGATCAATAATTACTTTTTAGGACTACTAATAGCTTTGCTGTGTATTGTTTACTCAGTATGTGAATAATCACATCTTCTGCCATGCAGGTTTGAAACTGAGTTGAGCCTCCGTCTTAATGTGGAAGCTGATATTAATGGCCTGCGTAAAGTACTGAATGAACTCAACTTGATTATATGTGACCTTGAAGCTCAGATTCAAAGCTTGACTGAGGAGATCGTGTGTCTCAAGAAGAACCATGAAGAGGTACTAGTAATCCTTACAATCTCTGTTACTATGGGTGCAAAACTTGCGTTTCCTTTTATATCATACACTGTGCTATACGTTTTAGTCTTTCTTGTGAATCAAAAATGTCACATAACACTTTAGGAATCTTCAGCTTTATCTTTTTTATTATTGCTTTCAGGAAATGAAGAGCTTCCTAGGGGTCACAGGACAACTCTCTGTGGAGATGAATGCTGCTCCAGGAAATGACCTCACTAAAATCCTGAATAATATGAGAGCTGACTATGAAAGCTTAGCAGAGAAAAACAGAAGGGAGGCTGAAGCTCAATTCAATGAAATGGTAAAAAAGAGGCTGATTTACTTCCATTATAATTGTAGGCGAAACTCCTTTCATTTAAGTTTCCAACATTTTTGATGGTTGTATTTTCAGAGTCGAGTCCTCAAACAGGAAATTTCATCTGGTACTGAGCTTATCCAATCTACCAGAAATGAAATTATTGATCTGAAGAGGACCGTTCAATCTCTAGAGATTGAACTACAAGCCGCCTGTGCAATGGTAAGACTATATTACTAATAAGGCTTATGTTATCACTGTACTCCAGAACTTATTAGTAGTTACTATTCATATGGTTACTTTGAAAAATAACACATAATTACAGACAATAAGATTTTGCATTTCATTTACTGCTGTTTAACTTTATTTAGCCTGTTAAATGTGTTGCTTCAAGTTTTGGGTTAGCATTCCTTGGTGTAAAAAAGATTTGATCTCACAAGAATATTTTCTATATCCAAGATCTGATTGTGTACCCTAAGTAGGGGTCACCACCAACAGGTTAAAGTACATGTAAACCCCAACTGAATGACATGTAGTTTTCTAAAGCACTTTGTAAAATAAAAAAATGGCAGTTTTTAAAATAGGATTGTAGTCTCCCTTGTAAGTGTGTGTGACAGGGAGACAACAAAGGAGCACAATTGGTAGACAGCAATAGTTGTCACCCTATAACAGGCAACACCTGCACACCTTCATGGCAGGATAACCAGATATTATTTTAAATAAAGCTGCAAAATGTAAAAATACTAGAAATTACTTTTTTACATTACTTTAACATGTTAATGTTTTAATGATATTTTAGTGAATGGGTATGCATGTACTTTAAGTGAAGCAAAGAGTGAGTCATCACCAAACCTTTATAAGTGTAAGACTGCCGATATTGATATATAGAGGACTATATATTTAATGAACAATGGTTTCTTTCTTTAGAAAACAACACTGGAAAGCTCCTTGGCAGAGACAGAAGGAAGCTACTGTCTGCAGCTTGGGCACATTCAGGCAAAAATAAGCAACTTGGAGGAAATGTTGTGTCAAGTTAGGACAGAAATGGAGAGTCAAGGCATAGAGTATGACCACCTTCTGGACATCAAGACTAGGCTGGAGAAGGAAATTGAGATCTACCGCTGCTTACTTGATGGACAGGCCATGTAAGAAGAGTTTTATTAAGACATTGGTACCAATACTGTTAAAAAAAATGAATTCATACTTAACTCTAACAGTATTAGTTAAAAAGTACTTTTGCTGAAGTGAACGATCAGACTAAAAATGATATTCCTCTTGTTCTTTATTATAGCTCTATCCCACCCCAACCTGCTCTGTGTCCTAAAGGTAAGCAGATTAAATTATTGTTCTCTTTATGGGCTTTAGTAAAAGTGAACATTCTTAAAATATATTCTGTCAGATTAACAGTTATTAATAAAGCTTCCTTATATGTTATAAAATATATTTTTAGTTATACGTTATCATCTTTGTGTCTAACGGAATATTGTAAAGTCAATATTGAGCCAATGTCTAGAGGAGTCCATGTCGAGTCTCAAAATTTACAGATTTTGATAACTTTCCCCTTATTTTGTTTCTATTTTCTGAGCATTTCTGCACATTTGTAGACCTCAGCAAGAGAAGCAATGGGGAAAGGCTGAAGGGGATGTTGAGGCTTAAAAGCTTCAAAATACTTTAGGTTAGTAAACATGAAGCCATCCCTCCTTGCTCTGGTTTGGTGGAATATAAAGTAGTTGTAGCTGCAGCGCAAGCAGACTGCATGCTGCCTCCAACAGAGCTACAAACAATTATGTTCTGAAATAATCACATGATACAAGGGACAGAGCTTTTCAAATGGACATCATTAGGTCTGGTGAACTGTAAGTAGCCAGTGCACTATCATATCAAGAAAAAAATCACAAACTATGCTGGGGTAGTAAAAAGGAAGACCCAGGGGCAGGCAGAGAGTCTTTAACCTTTTATCATATTATATGTGTGGGTGGTTGCACTGTGCCCCTGGAAATTCAGAAATCCATCCTCGGTCCCATCGACACACCTAAGTGTGCACTCAGAAAACAGTAACCTGCTATTATGCTTTTGAATTGTGCACACCAGATCATCTGAATGAAGCCCATACAAGAACAGTTAAAATTTAAAAAAACTTAGATCCAAAGTGACTTCAAGACATCAGTACCAAACACTGTGTCACACTCACTATGTGTATAAAAGGCACACACACATGAACTTGGCACATTCTATACATGAATGCTCCCATTAACTGATACAAATTCTTTCTCTTTAGAGCCTCAAAAGTACAGAAAAGTAAGAACCATTATTGAGGAAGTGGTTGATGGAAAAACAGTGTCCCAGCAAGTTCAGGAACGTGAGGAGAAGGTCTGAGTAGTACCGTGAAGCCCTCCTGTATCTTTTACACTCCGCTACAATCTCCTGAACCTCTTCGGATGAAGCTTACCTCTAGAGTTCTTTTTCTTCAATTCTGATAATGCATAATATAATAAGAGATGCTTGTGTCTTAGAAGGGTGATTTCTTATCAATAAAGCTTTATTCTGATGCAAAAAAGGTTTCTGTAAATATGTGTGTTTTTGGATTAATGTTATCTAATCTGGGTAACAAAGAGTTGGTTAAAAGCAAAAAGCTTGTAGACACTTGGTCATTTGTTGTAATAAAATACCATTTAGACTGGATTTGCGCCAAATGCATTGGGGCTGCGCTGGCCATTTTTTCCATCACAGTTCTGTTGCAAGAGAAGGCAATTTGCCTTGTCACAGATGGACTCAGTTCACACCAACAGCATAAAGCTCAAATTCTATTAAAATGGTTAAAGTACTCTTAATTTACAATGCAAGTGAGACCTGAAAGCCTGATCTCCTGTCCCTCATTCCTGTTTCACTTCAGTTCCTGAAAGAATTGGATCAGGATGACACATCTTGACCATGTACTTTTAAGAACCAAGTCAGCAATGGCAACTTCTCTGAGTCCTACCTTCATGGGTTCCCCTTTACATCACATGTACTTTAAGTAAAAGGGGTTTGTTAACAAGTAATGATCCGATTCAAAGTTTCTGCTGAAACAAAAAGCTCAACAGGTTTCAGGTCTATGTGTCCAACAAGCAATAAGAAACAAGGTACAAACTACCTTAAGCTACAATATAAGGCAAGCTTGCATTAAATCAACAATCAGTGAGGTACAAAAGCTTTGTTAATTTGGGATGGAGAAGAATCTGATCAGAAACCTGTTTTTGGTGGTAGTTCTAAAATGAAAACTTATTTCCGATAAGATACTATGGATGGCCACAAAAATGATAATTTTGCATAATGTGTACATGTAGTATGAACTTATACAATATATCTGGTAGTGCAGACTTCAACTGCTCCTGGACCAGCACCAGTTTCACAACAATTGCTGTCATCTCTAAAGAAGACTAAATTAAATATAAACAGGAAGAATGAGATGGTTGTGGTTTTGGAAAGCCAGATGCAGACATCTCTCCCTCAGAGTCCAGAAGGCAGACAAGAAATTGAAACTTTTCCTTTAACCAAGTTTGCCACCTTGCCCTAAGCAAGGTGACTCCTTAAATTTATTTTGGAAAGCATAGACTAGATACATAGACTAGATTTGGTTTCTCCTAAGCACCCAGTTATGGTGTGCATCTGCCTGCTTCTGGGTGTGACCTTGGCACAAAGCAGAGCATCCAATAATGCAGAGTTATGAATAGGAGTGTCTCTTTAGCCCATCACTAGGAGGTTCATGGCTAGTGTTGCATGCTGGGGGATGACATAAATATTCGTCTCTGACCTTGGGAAGTTTCTTTCAACCGGTCCTCCAGTTTGGGGGAGGGTGCCTTAAATGCTGTGCTGTCTGATTAGGCCTGCAGCTTGCAGCTGGTCAGGTATGGACCCAGTTAGAGTATAGATTTGTTCATGGGATGAAGAATCAGGGTAGAAATCTGTTTGCAGGAGGTGCCAGGATGGGCTTAGACCCCGCCTAGGGAAATCTGTGCTATATCTACTGACCAGCATAAGGTTTGAAACACAGTGTTACTGCAATTATTTTAAAGGCCCTCTGCACTGTAAAGATGGGAAGTGGTCAGTGATCCCAGAGTTCTGTACTGTCTTAGATATCTGTAGCACTTGACAATGAGTTGCTGATGAAATAAAACCTTTAAAAACCTTAAAGTGACTGGTATCCAACAAACAGCAGAGGGCTCATCCCTGGGGAAGCCCACCATGCCTCTGAAGTCTTTCCTCGGTCCCATGCTTAGAAACCAAATGAGCACTGCTTTTTAAATTAGCCTAGACTGGATACAATCCAGCATAACTAATTTTTTTTTCAATATATATTTTTATTTTGAATTTTTCAAATATAACAAGCATGGAATTGTCATACAAAGGGGAATAGTACAAAAACAATAAAAGGTTCGCTCAGTTCGCTCAACGGTACACAGTTATACATTAGGTCATCTAATCAAGTATAGAAAGAGCAAACTCAGAGGGAGAGGATGGGTGAACAGGGAAAGGATCAGGGCTAGAGGAAGGAAAAGGTTAACTCAACATCAGCTCGCTTTAGGGGATCCACATTTTCCATTTTCTATCAAATGCGAACATATCACCAATTTTAAGCACATGTAGCCTCTTGAACTCATAATGTAACTGCAAGGTTTGGTAAGTTTCGTTCACAGAGTCACTCAACGGGCTTCTCCAATGCCTAACAATACTGAATTGAGCAGCCAGTAAGGTGTGGACAACCAGTGCTCAATAGTGAACAGTGAAGCGGTCTATTCCTATCAGTAGGAGACCCAGAGCCGGGTCAGGGGTTGTGATACAACCAGTCATAGAGGAAATCAGCTTAAAAATGCTTCCCCAATAGCTCGTCAGGGATTTGCATTTCCAGAGTGTGTGCAAAAGTGTACAAATCTGTTCGCAGTTTCTCCAGCAGAGCGCCGAAGCTGACGAAGAGAATTTTAAGACCTGGTAAGGGATTAGATACCAGCACAAGAAAACTTTACGAGAAAGCTCCCACAAGTCAGCGTTTTTCATGGCAGAGTGAATGGAACTGCAGGCAGAATTCCACTGTTCAGGGAGAAGGACCCACCCAACTCTTTTTCCCATGCAAAAATTGCTGGAAATTTAGTAAAGGGACTCTTATGTTGTAGGAAATTATACATGAGCAATATACCCCCCTTACATGTAGATGTGAAAAAGAGGTATTTCCATATTGGAATTGGCACTTTAGGCAAGCAGACATTAGGGAGGGGAGAGCAGGTGATATTTGTAGAAAGGTATCAGCGGTAGAGAGCTTATACTTGGAAAGGAGTTGCGGGAAAGGACGCGATTTGAGGTCTTGCAATAGGTCATGCACCCAGGTCACACCCCGTCTGGACCAATGAGCATGAGGGAAGTCCGGAATAATTAGGGCTAGAGCCGATATTGGGATTGGAGGTGAGATCAGTTGGTCTGTGGGGGATTTGTGGAGCATGGACAAACACCAGACCTGTATTCTAGCTTGAATAGAAGGATGATAGTGGCTTATGGAATAAGACGAGGCGGTGTGTAGAAGCACAAGGGAGTACAGTGAGACCCCCTGTGCCAATTCACTCTCCAATAAAGGCCATATTTTATCCTCTGGTGAGTGAATCCAAAATCTAAGTTGGGACAGGATAGCTGCGAGGTGGTAATCCTTGAGGTCAGGATAACCAGTTCCACCTACCTTTGCACTTTTGGGAAGGCAAGCGCGGGGGCATCTCGTTTTTTCTTTTGATAGGGAGATTGTGATAGGGAGAAGTGTAGCGATTTAAAGTACCAGTTAGGGGTGGGGATGGCAATAGTTCTGAAAAGGTATAAAAGTTTGGGGAGAAGGAGAATTTTAAACACACCAATCTGGCTGTCCAAAACATAAAGCCCTTTACTAGGCATTGTAACTCTTTTTTATGGAATGGAATGAAATAATATTAGAAGTGTTGAGTCAGGGCTGTTAGTACCTAAATATTGGAGGCCGCTGGTTGTCCACACAAAGGGGTATGTAGCTTGTAAGGCAGTGCGAGAAGTGTAATCCAAATTTATGCTTAATATAGTACAATTGTCAACATTTAGTTTACAGCATAACTAAATTTAAGGAGCCACCTTGCTTAGGGAAGGTGGCAAACTTGTTTAAAGGGAAAGTTTAAATTTCTTGTCTGCCTTCTGGACTCTGAGGGAGAGATGTCTGCATTTGGCTTTCCAACTCTTCCAAAAACCACGGCCATCTCAGTCTTCCTGTTCATTTTTCATTTAGTCTACTTTAGAGATGGCAGCAATTGTTGTGAAACTGGTGCTGGTCCAGGAAACTGTTGTGAAAATGGTGCTGGTCACAGTTTTTAAGTATGTTTCATCCTGATCCAATTCTTGCAGGAACTGACATGAAACAGGAATGAGGGACACGTGATCAGGCTTTCAGGTCTCACTGGCTTTATGCTTCTACCAGGTCAGGGACTCAGCATGTTAAGGACTAAGAGCCTGCATCTTTATACACCATGACAGCAGTGACAGTTCACACATTTAGTGTGTGTAGTAACCATGGTAAGTAAATGTAAGCTAATTTCTGATTGGGTATTCTGGGTTAATACATAGCACTATTATATGCAGTAAATTGTAAATTAAGAGTGTATTAACCATTTTAATAGGATTTGAGCTTAAGACTGTTGGTGTGAACTGAGCCCACCTGTGACAAGGCAAATTGCTTCGTCTTGCATTGGAGCTGTACTGGAAAAAATTGCCAGTGCAGCCCCAATGCATTTGGTGTGAATTCAACCCAAATGGCCAACTGTCTAAAAGCTTTTTTGCTTCTAACAGTTTTGTTACCCAGATTAGATGAGATTAATCCAAAAACACACATATTTACAGAAACCTTTGTTTGCATCAGAATAAAGCTTTATTGATCAGAAATCACCCTTCTAAGACACAAGCATCTCATATTATATTATGCATTATCAGAATTGAAGAAATAGAACTCTAAAGGTAAGCTTCATGGGGACATCCAAAGAGGTTCAGGAGATTGTAGCGGAGTGTAAAAGATACAGGAGGGCTTCATGGTACCAATCAGACCTTCTCCTCGCGTTCCTTAACTTGCTGGGACACTGTTTTTCCATCAACCACTTCCTCAATAATGGTCCTTACCTTTCTGAACTTTTGTGGCTCTGAAGAGAAAGAACTTGTATCAGTTAATAGGAGCATTCATGTATAGAGTGTGCCATAGTATGTATAACATGGTTCATGTGTGTGTGCCTTCTATACACATAGTGAATGTGACACAGTGTTTGACAGTGATATTTTGAGGTCACTTTGGATCTAAGTCTTTTCATTATAACTGTTCTTGTATGGGCTTCATTCGGATGATCTGGTGTGCACAATTCAAAAGCATAATAGCAGGTTACTTTTTTCTGAGTGCACACTTAGGTATGTTGATGGGACAGAGGATGGATTTCTTAATAGCCATGGATTAGGGTTTCCTGGCCATAGTGCAACCACCCACACATATAATATGATATAAGGTTGAAGACTATCTGCGTGCCACTGGGTCTTACTTGTTACTACCCCTGTATAGTTTGTAATTTTTTCTTGACATGATAGTGTACTGGCTACTTACAGTTCACCAGACCTAATGATGTCCATTTGTAAAGCTCTGTCCCTTGTATCATGTGATTATTTCAGTACATGATTGTAGCACTATTGGAGGCAGCATGCAGTCTGCTTACTCTGCAGCTACAACTACTTCATATTCTACCAAACCAGAGCAAGGAGGGATGGCTTCATGTTTACTAAACTAAAGTATTTTATTCCTTTCAGCCTCAACATCCCCTTCAACCTTTTCCCCATTGCTTCTCTTGCTGAGTTTGTCTACAAATGTGCAGAAGTGTCAAGAAAACAGAAACAAAATAATGAAAAAGTTATCAAAAATCTGTAAATCTTGAGAGTCGACGTGAACTCCTCAAGGTTGTATGATAACTACAACCTTGTTCATATCCACCTGGACAAGCTCATATGTATTTAGAAAATTCCCTTAGACACAAAGATGATAACGTATAACTAAAAATATATTTTATAACATATAAGGAAGCTTTATTAATAACTGTTAATCTGACAGAATATATTTTAAGAATGTTCACTTTTACTAAAGCCCATAAAGAGAACAATAATTTAATCTGCTTACCTTTAGGACACAGAGCAGGTTGGGGTGGGATAGAGCTATAATAAAGAACAAGAGGAATATCATTTTTAGTCTGATCGTTCACTTCAGCAAAAGTACTTTTTAACTAATACTGTTAAAGTTAAGTATGAATTCATTTTTTTTAACAGTATTGGTACCAACGTCTTAATAAAACTCTTCTTACATGGCCTGTCCGTCAAGTAAGCAGCGGTAGATTTCAATTTCCTTCTCCAGCCTAGTCTTGATGTCCAGAAGGTGGTCATACTCTATGCCTTGACTCTCCATTTCTGTCCTAACTTGACACAACATTTCCTCCAAGTTGCTTATTTTTGCCTGAATGTGCCCAAGCTGCAGACAGTAGCTTCCTTCTGTCTCTGCCAAGGAGCTTTCCAGTGTTGTTTTCTAAAGAAAGAAACCATTGTTCATGAAATATATCCGTGGTACCGAGCAGAATAGGAAATCAATAAAAAAAGTAAAAAAAAAATAAATCAAAGTTAAAAAAAAGATGTTAAAAATGTAAATAAATATTAAATTTAACAAAATAAATAAAGATTTAAAAAATAAAATAATAATAAAAAACAATTGGGCGGAGCTAGCAGTGATAACTAACTCCGACCAACTGTTTCCTATTGGCTGGCACCTGCTAGGACCTTCTAGCGGGTCCCGGCTAATGTATAACAACTGGGCAGATCTCCACTGATCTGTCATTACAACTGGGCAGAGCCAGCCGTGAGATCACATCTGGCTCTGCCCAGCTGTCATTTGCGAGGGAGAGGTGTTATGTTCGCCCCACTTCGGCTCAGTCGAGCTGAAGCATATGCCTTCGGCTCGGTTAAGCCGCTCGGCCGCCTTCGGCAGATGTACGGGCTATAGTGAATAGCCCGTACAGCAGCCCTTCAGTTCGACTTTGCCCTTCAGAAGCTTAGGCTGATCCTTCAGCTAGCTTTGTGAATAACCCTTGGGACATAAGGAAAGGGGAAGTCATCGAGGGGCGATATATTTCCCCTCGCTTTCTATCCTATGTACAGGATTAGCGGAACCCAGACCAGGTTTTCGGGTTGATTTTGGGTCTGAATAATCCAGCTCGGGTTTTGTGTCTCTCACCTGGATTGTTAATTTCTTAATGATTGATTTTCCAGGTGAGATAAAAGGGGGAAGGCTGAAGCATGATGTTGCTCTGGCCTGGGACTCAGACAGCAGTCTGAAGCTGGCCATACACCTTACAATTGATCTGCAGATTTTCTGTGGTCAGATGGAAAAGGTGCAACAGATTCCTCCATCTACACTTAACTATGTGGATGGAGTAATCCCCACCTGGGCCAATCTGTTGCATTTTTTCCATCTGACCACAGAAAATCTGTAGATAATGGTAAGGTGTGTGGGCACCTTGAGAGAGCTACAAGTTGGATATTTGTGATTAAGGATGCTGAAAGTACTTTTGTCTTGTGAGGTGGCTGAGATAAGCTCACCCCCTGGTAGAGAGGAAATCTGAATGTTTAGTCAGAGCCTGGATGGCAAGGATTTATTTTCTGTTTTATTTTGTTTTATTGCAACCTTTTAAATAAAAACTGACTGCAAGTCAGATTGAAAAAGAACTTTGCTGCCTGGACTATCTTTTTCCATGGGAAGGTGATCCCCATTTGAGCTATACCCCCACACCTTCTAAATGTCATTCAGTTTGGGTTTACAATTACATGTACATTGACCTGTTGGTGGTGACCCCTACTTAGGGTACACAATCAGATCTTGGATATAGCAAATATTCTAGTGATATCACATTTTATTTAGACCAAGCAATGCTAACCCAAAACTTGAAGCAACACATTTAACAGGCTAAATAAAGTTAAACAGCAGTAAATGAAATGCAAAATCTTATTGTCTGTAATTATGTGTTATTTTTCAAAGTAACCATACAAATAGGAAATACTAATAAGTTCTGGAGTACAGTGATAACATAAGCCGTATTAGTAATATAGCCTTACCATTGCACGGGCGGCTTGTAGTTCAATCTCTAGAGATTGAACGGACCTCTTCAGATCAATAATTTCATTTCTGGTAGATTGGATAAGCTCAGCACCAGATGAGATTTCCTGTTTGAGGACTCGACTCTGAAAACACAAGCATCAAAACTGTTGGAAACTTAAATGGAAGGAGTTTTGCCTACAATTATAATGGAAGTAAATCAGCCTCTTTTTTTACCATTTCAATGAATTGAGCTTCAGCCTCCCTTCTGTTTTTCTCTGCTAAGCTTTCATAGTCAGCTCTCATATTATTCAGGATTTTAGTGAGGTCATTTCCTGGAGCAGCATTCATCTCCACAGAGAGTTGTCCTGTGACCCCTAGGAAGCTCTTCATTTCCTGAAAGCAATAATAAAAAAGATAAAGCTGAAGATTCCTAAAGTGTTAAGTAACTTTTTTGATTCACAAGAAAGATTAAAACGTATAGCACAGTGTATGAAATAAAAGGAAACGCAAGTTTTGCATCCATGGTAACAGACATTGTAAGGATTACTAGTACCTCTTCATGGTTCTTCTTGAGACACACAATCTCCTCAGTCAAGCTTTCAATCTGAGCTTCAAGGTCACATTTAGCCAAGCTGAGGTCATCCAGTACTTTACGCAGGCCATTAATATCAGCTTCCACATTAAGACGGAGGCTCAACTCATTTTCAAACCTGCATGGCAGAAGATGTGATTATTCACATACTGAGTAAACAATACACAGCAAAGCTATTAGTAGTCCTAAAAAGTAATTATTGATCAGAAACTTACTTCATCTTGAAGTCATCAGCTGCCAAACGGGCATTGTCAACTTGGAGTACAATTCTTGCATTATCCAGAGTGGCTGCTTGAATCTACACAGACAGACAAAGTTTTATGGTCGAGCATGTTTATATGACTTAATTAAGTTAATACATGTTGTAATGCAATATTTTCTTATGAAAGGAAAAATATATCATCTGCCAGAGTGTTGAGTAGAAAAATTGTAACATTCCAATCAATGCTCATGTATAGTTAGACCACTAATGCTTTCAAATCAGTACCTGCTTCTTGAGATCCTCAATGATTTGGAAATATTTGGAGTAGTCCTTCACTTGCTTGTTATCATTGCAGTGCTGCTCATACCAAGCCTTAATTTTGCTTTCAAGGTCGGCATTGGCGTCTTCTAAATCCTGCACTTTGTTCAGGTATGAAGCCAGACGGTCATTAAGATTTTGCATGGTTTCCCTCTCACTTCCACAAAGGAGGCCATCTCCACTGAAGTAGCCTGCACTAAAGTTACCAACAGCTCCTCCACTCAAGCTCCCAACACCAAAATCACCAAAAGCACCTCCACTTTGGTGAGCACCAAAGCTTTGAGCACCACATGTAGCTCCAGCTCTCCCAGGGAAGGAGCAAACAGATGTTCCATAGTTTCCACCTCCAACAGAGAGCCTTGATGGAGCACAGGGTTTTTGGCAAGACATGTTCTTGGTATGATAGCCCTCCTAGTAAGTAGGTGAAAGAGATAGCAAGCTTACTCTAGGATAAAATCATTAGCCTTTATATGCAAAATCATGTGGGTGGTTCAGTTTCATTCAACTCCCAAACCAATGTCTGGCTGTTAAATTCTTGATGAAAGGTTAATTAAAAGACTCAGTGTGTCCACTTGTGCCTATTTTGAAAAATGCCTTAGGCTGGTTGTTACGATAAAATGATAAAAGATGGATCATGGATAATTATTTTATTTTATTTAATCTTGTAACTTGAGACAAGTAATTTATGTTTTAAAACTATTTACCCTCCCAGTGTTTTTATAGATAATATTCTGAGTAAATTGACAAGGCAAATGCCATCTAGAGCATTGCACTATTTAGACAAGCTTGACGGATTCTTGAGAAACAATACCTCAAACTTTTACTAGTAGTGCAAGAATATAAAATAAATTGGTATGGAGGTGTTATGGGATCAGAAACACTTCATAATCAGTTTGCTGTTGCGTAAAAATCAGTTCGCTCTTGTCCAGTAGTCTTCTGATATGTTTTAATTCCCAGACCTTTCACCATTTTTGTTGCCTATCTTTGGACTTGTTCTATCTTATCAATATTTTTTTGTAAGTTAGGTCACCATACCTGGACACAGTATTCAAAATGAGGTCTAACTAAAGATCTCTCTCTCTCTCTCTCTCTCTCTCTCTCTCTCTCTATATATATATATATATATATATGTATATACACAGTATATAGAAGAAATCAGGTCCTACTTCATCCTGCTGTTGATCACTTTAGTAATGCATCCCAGACTTCTATTTGCTTTCCCTGCTGCCAGGCCACACCGTTTGCTCATTTTGCATTCATCTGAAATAAGCACTCCAAGTTCTTTCATGGGTCCTATAGCCTAAGCCCCATACATGTAGTATTGAAGGTTGAATAAAGACACAGGTCCATCGAGTTCAACCTTTATGTGTATGTTTGTGTGTAGTGAGTGCATGTGTATATGAGTCCCTTTCTGGTCTTAGTTTCTAAGAGTACCCTTAGATCACATAATCTCTGGCTGTTACATTTAAAACTGCAGAGAGTCTGTTGTCTTTAATTAGATAGAAGTTGACTTTTAAACATTCACATGCAGCGGGCCAAGGGTCTTATTGCACTTGAATTTAATAGGTGCCTGCAGATTACCACAACATCTCTGAAACTGGGCTGGCTACAGTATTAGGCAAATATTGACTTAATCTAGGAAAATGGAGGATTGGTCTGACTTACCCACACAAACTGTGACCTCTTAGTAAGGTCTGTCATCATAGTGATGGCAAAATAGTGCCATTGGTGTGTGGAAATCGGTCAAATCTCTGACTTTTTACTGAAGTCAAGATTTGCATATTAGAACACCACTAGATTCTGTGCTCGCTGTGTGCTCTGAAAATTAATTGAATTTTCTTGTAAATGCACGCAAGTGCTCGTTTTCGCCGTAGGACAGGAAGTATGCTAAGACTACATAACACCTCTTCTCATCTCCATAACATAGGTGGGAAGTGTGTTCTTTAGTTTACTTACTGTAGTTGAACTGGGCAAGGCTAACACCCTTGCTTGAGATGCTATGGCTGCCAATTCCAGCCCCAAAGGAGACACCTTTATCAAATCTTATCAAATCCATTTGGTTATATTAGCTTGAGTCCACTCAATACCTTATCGCATCCTAAGCCCTGATGAAGGGGTGGAGTGTGGTTGCCCCCAAAACACATTGGCTGTTTTTTGCTTAATCGATCTATGAACCATTAAAGGCAGTTTGGGCTCTTTCATCTTCTGGTGTGGCACCCTTTATTTCTGAACATTGACCCTTGCTTGAGAAAACACTGCATAAGATACAGGAAAGAACTAGATTTATAGAAAAGTCAACAGGTATTTTTTGCCCTTATAGAACAGATATAAGATTTTTTTACAGAAATAGTTTTATTAAGGGTTTCACAGAAACAACTTTTCAGAGCATACAAATAACAAAGAGACATAGAGCATACACAACATGCAGATCTTGGTCTTCAAAATGTCCAATGTATCCTCCGCCATACAAAATATAAATTATCCACATCTTAAATACACAGTAAAACCACTGAGTGAGGCGTGGACAGGTCCCCACCACCGCGTAGGCCGCATCACCACTACCCCTGAAGACCTACGTTGGCCCGGTGGGGGTTCACTCCAAGGCACAGGACAGAGAAGTCGTAGTGGAGTAACCCTGAAAATAGGAGGCCAATGCACTACAAACAACATGGCACAACAGACAAACATAAAAAGAAAGGCGACAAAGAGAAAGGAGAGGGAGAAAAGAGAGAAGGAGGCAGGGAGGGAGAAGCGGAGAAAGAAGGGAAGGGGCGGGAGTGTTCACCCTCCGTCACAGGTCGTAGAGGGACAACCACCAGAGATCCCACGGTAACACCTCTGCAGGCACTGGGGTAATGGAGGAATAGCAAAAAAAGAAAATCACTCACCGCAGAGACCGGTACTCCTCAGAACAGATATAAGATTTAATATACACTATTAGAACAATTTAAGTGGAGGAACACTTTAACAACACTAGATACCAAGTCACAGGGCTTATACCACCATCAAGGCCAAGGTGGGAAATCCAAATATGGTGGAAACAGGTTTATACATTTACCATCATTCTGATTTACCACCTGTATAAATTGTGGAACATTATTCTTTCCAAATTATTATTACATATGTACAGTATTGTGTGTGGTGTTGTTTTTTTTAATTGTTTCTTTTAAACTGTATTTAAACATAATGATTGTTTAGCAAAAATGAATGAATCGTGAAATCCATTACATATTCAGCATCACACAGTGAACATTTATCATAATTACTATTACTATAATTAATGCTGCCATACCTTAATGTACAGCTTTATAGACTTTAATTATTTTTTGGTGTCAAGCTACTGTTTATCTGTGGCATTCGTAAGCCATGCTGCTACATGACAATGGCGGGCACCCAAAATCAACATGCAATGGGAGCAGACTAGGTGGAGCCTGCCCAAGCAGGTGGAACATCATCTTGTCATCACTGAAATATTTTTTTACAAGTGTTTACTTACTATTAATGACCTATTATTTTACTGTAATATTAAAGGCTTAGTCCAACTTTTAGACCATGTTTCATGTTACACCCATTTAAGGTGTAACATGGAACATGGTCACAGACAGCATGCTCCAGATCTAACCCCCCCCCCCACTTGAATCATGGGGTGCTTCTAGGGTGCTGCCTTTTATTGTTACTTGAATTTAGCTCAGTAGAGTGTGGCACTGCCTGCACAGACTCATCATGCATATAGGGGGATCCATTAATGAAGATACACGTTCCATCAGCCAGCAGCAGGACAATGATATCACCACACTTGTAGTTCATACATTACTTCCTCCAGCCCCATATAGAGGTATGGACCTGGGCTGGGGGTAAGCAATTGTGCTGCACTGATCATGGTTGCAATGCTCTTCAGGCCTGAATGCAAACATGTAATACAATATACAGTGTATGTATATATGTATATAAACACTGATCAGAGAGGGACCTGCAGTCAGTGACACTTGGTGGAAATTATATAGCTATCTGATCCCCATTTAGACCTGAGATTGCAGCTTCTGACAAAGGAAAGCCTTCCCCTGACTTCCTTTGTCTCTCCGAGATGTCATGTGACCCAATGCCAAAAAATGATACTGGAAAATTTGAAAAGTGTGTCAGATAAATCATGACATTTAGGATCAATCACCTTTCACCATGCCCATCAGTCATTGCAACTTCAGTGCATGTTGCATGGTACACTTTCTTTGGCCCAATTAAACTGGGTGCTACCTAGGCCAAAAGTTATAAGTCCTCCCCTAGTGCTCATATTATTAATATTTACATGGCTCCCAACTGGGCATTTGCTAGACCAACATCATCGTATTTGTGGTTTATGTCTTTTTGTATTGTTTTTTTTTATATTACAGCACTCTCTAGATGGTGTGACCATTGTAGTGGACGGTAATAGTAATAGTATACAACATATAGTATTGATGGTCTGTTTTTTTGGTGGGAATTTTATTTTTATTGGAAATCATCCCAGCAAGTTTGAAGGTACAATATTAAGGAAATAAAGAAGGTAAAGGTGAAAAAGTATGGGGAGCAGCCATAACCATACCTGGAATAAAATCTATTTAAAAAAAAATAATACATACAGGTCAAACTATAATGCTCAGTATTGGCATTTGAATAACAAAATATAAAATAAGTGAAGCCCCTTTTCCAAACCATTGAGACAGGAAAGATTTTTCTTATATTTTTTTTCTAAATTCATAAAAAATGTAAGCATCTTATTGCATCTCTTCCCCATGTTGATCATGTCTTTTGAAAAATATTTTACTTGCAGAGGATGTGCAGCGTGTTTTAATGTTTAATTTAGTCATTCAAGCATGATATAGATACTTGTACTCTATTATTTTCAGGATACGCACAGCCGCTCTGGTGGTTAATAATCCCACTCCAATCACTAGCAGCCAATGAGACTAAGACAGTAACATCTTTCTTAGAAAAAATAGTCCTTTCATCAAAAAGGAAACAAAAGAACCCCCCCAAACCAGTAAGAATTTTAAAATTTATTTTACTTAAAGGGAGAGGCCATACGGTAATTTATATTTTATTAAAGGAGAATTATGAGGTGATTTTCACTCAGTCTCATAATCTGAGCCGACCTGTGACAGGGAAACTGTCACAGAGAGCCGTGACAGGGGAGCGACTGGATTCCTCCCTCCCCTGTCCGATCCTCCA